CCCCCGTACAGCCGTTACCTCCGCTAGCTCCATCAGCCTCTGAAGCGGCCCCCTCGCAAGCTGCCTGCGCCCCTCCGGCCTCCTCCTCCTGTGATTGGCTACGTGCGGCCGCAGCCTGCAGGCTCCTCCTCCTCTGCCAGATTTCTTCAGCCTCGTGAATATCTTGGAGTCCCCCCATTTCAGCCGACTGCCTTTCCTCTTCAGCGCTTGGGATATGTACCGAGGGCAGGGAGGCCTGGGTGCATATGATGTCCTGTGTTTCCAAAGCAGGTGCGCTGCTGGCGGTGTCCACTGCACAAGCCCCTTCTTCCTCCTCCTGGGAAGAGAAGGCCGGGGTCTCCGAAAACCGGGCGCTTTCAAAGGAAGAGCACTGAGTGTCCACCGAGGAGAGTCGGGGAGTGGCGGCTTCGTTGCACGAGCCGTCCGCCCCTTCCGCGTCGCTCTCTCCTTCCGGCCGAGTGCTCGATTCGCTCACGCTTTCCGTGCGAGCAGGATCGCTCGGCTCGGTTTCTGACGAGACCTGGGACGGCTCCGACCCCTGGTCGATAGACTCGGCTTCCCTGATGCTTCTTCTGCTTCCGGGAGGAGACTCAGAAGCCCCCGCGTCTGAGCCGGCGGCAGACTGTTCCGCCTCCTGAGGTGCACAAGCTTCAGCTCCAACCAGATCTGCTGGCTCATCATCTGGAGGACGTTGAAGAGATTCAGTTTCTTCTATGGCCACCTCTGGCTCCGGAGGCACTGGAAGGGGCTCTTGCTGGCTATTGGAAGGAGGCGAGGAGGTTTCTGCTTCCGGTGCTCCTCCATCTTCCTCAGGGCCTTGGCTTTGTGCTACCTGGCTTGGTGAACAATTTAGACAATCTCCTTCGGCATTTCTGTTAGCACCGTCCAGCATAACTAATCCGCCGTCATCGTCCAGGGAGGACTGGAATCCCAAACCCTGGTGGAATTCATGCTCCTCTTCATCAGAGTCTATGTGAAGCATGGCATTGAGTCTAGTATCGGTAGGGAAGCTACTCCTTAATTTTGGGGATGCCCCAACGGCACGCTCATTGCAAGCGGAAGTCCCGGCCCTACAATGACTACTTTGCTCAATAGAATCCAGGTAGTCGTTCAGCGAGTCCTGGCGGCCTCTGGGCGGTGACGACTGCGAAGCCGTAGAGGTCAAATCCTCCTGATCCGTTTCCAGAGTGGTGCTAGTCCGCAGGGAATGCCGTGGGGTTCCCTCTCCGGCGGACTCCTCGAACAGGGGGCCGTTCAGGCAAACCGGAGGCACCTCGTGATGCCCAGCGGGGGCGTCCTCCTCGTCCGAAGGGCTCCCCAAGTCTCCGTTGACAGGGTTGACTCCTAGCAAAGTTCCCACTGTTTCCGGCGAAGCATCTGTAACAAGGAAAAACACCAGGAAAATATATCACTACATGTAACAATACCTGTTTGCAGGCGGTGGGGGGAATGAATCGCTTGGTATGGATGGAATGGAATGCAAAACCAAAGCACTGGAGTATTTGAAAAGATATATGATAAACAAAAGGAGCTGCGGTGGCTCAAGTGGTTAAGACGCTGAACTGCAGGCTGTGGAAGGTCGGCAGTTCAGCAGTTCGAGACCCGAGTGTGCCGCATGACGGAGTGAGCTCCCGTCTCTAGTTCCAGCTCCTGCCAGCCTAGCAGTTCAAAAGCAAGAAATTGCAAGTCTGTAGTTCAGCATTCTGAGACCAGAGTGCCGCATGACGGAGTGAGCTCCCGTCTCTCGTTCCAGCTCCTGCCAACCTAGCAGTTCAAAAGCAAGACATTGCAAGTAGATAAATAGGGACCACTTCGGTGGGAAGGGAACAGCGTTCCGTGCGCCTTGGTGTTTAGTCATGCCGGCCACATGACCACGGAAATGTCTTCGGACAGCGCTGGCTCTTCGGCTTGGAAACAGAGATGAGCACCGCAACCCTAGAGTCGGACCCGACTGGCTTTCGAGCAAGGGGAACCTTTATGATAAACAAAGGCGTACTGTGAATTGTAAAGCGGGTTCTAGATCACATCAGACTTGCGCTCTCCCTAGAAACTTAAATGACTAAAATTGAGGCTATTGTCCTATGGTCACATTGTGAGAAGACAAGTCTCACTGGGAGAGACAATCGTGCTGGGGAAAGCTGGAGGCAGCAGCAAAAGAGGAAGAACCAACATGAGATGGACTGACTCAGTCTTCAGTTTGCAAGTCCCGAGCAAGGCTGTTCACCAATTGGTGGGTTTGTGGGTCAACAAATCAAAGGGTCGCCATGGGTCGGCAGCGACTTGACAGCACTTAACACACACACACACTTTATAAACTGCAAATTGGAAACACCATGTGGCACGCATACAATTATCAACACCAGGGCTATTTTGGGGCAGGAACGCACAGGAACGGAGTTCCGGCTGGCTCCTGAGTTGGCCACGTCCAGCAGGAACTCATTAGCATAATAGGCCACACCCAACAGCAGAAACTCATTAGGATTGGCTACATCAGGGGTGTGTGGCCTAACATGCAAAGGGGTTCCTGCTACAAAAAAAGCCCTGGGTTATAACAACAAAGTAAACAGAATAAGAAGCAAAAGGTGGGTGTGGCTGGATGACCACACTTCTGGTAACATGGGGGTGTGGCCTAATGTGCCAATGAGCTGTGCTGTCATGGGTGTGGCCTAATATGCTAATGGATTTCTGCTGTTGGGCGTGGCCTATTATGCTAATGAGTTCCTGCTGGACTTTTTCTACAAAAAGAGCCCCGATCAACTCTATTCCGTGTACCAGTAACAGGTGTACAAATACACAGGAAAACGGACAGCGTTCGTGTGCTCACATACAACACATCAAGAAGGCATTAAAACAGATGGCAAACTCTAGATTCAAGGCCAGGAACATCTCAGAGAACCAAGAAGGTTTTCAGGCTCTAAGCTTTTGAGGTTCAAAGCTCCCTTCGTCAGATACTTCCAAAGTATTCAGGATACATCGCCCTGCGGGACCTAGTGTTCATACAGTTCTGCAGGGCCCGTAAGACAGAGATGTTCCACTAGGCCTACAGTTGAGGAGAGCAATGGCCTCCATCGAACCCGGCCTCCATCTTTTCTCCCCTTTCCGCCTATGGAGAAGGATGTAAATAGTTTAAGCACCATCGGAAACTGGAATCTGAATCTAAACTATGCATTGTTTTAATTGTCCTTAACTTTTGAGAAGAAGAAGAGAAGAAAAGGGATTGGATTTATACCCCATGGCCCTTCACTCGGAGACTCAGAGCGGCTTACAAACTCCTTCCCTTCCTCACCCCACAACAGACACCCTGTGAGGTAGGTGGGGCTGGGAGAGCTCTGAGAAGACTGCTCTTGAGAGAACAGCTCTGAGAGAACTGCGGCTTGCCCAAGGTCACCCAGCAGCTGCATGCGGAAGCGTGGGGAATCACACCTGGTTCTCCCAGATTAGAGTCCACGTTCTTAACCACGACACCCAACTGGCTCTTAACTGACTTGTAATTATGTATATTGAAATGTTGTTAACCGCCCTGAGTGGGGGAGAGGACAGTCTACAAGTCGAGTGAATGATGGATGAATGAATGAATGAATGAATGAATGAATGAATGAATGAATGAATACTTTGTAATATAAGCTTTGCCTCTTGAAAGCTTATAAGCCTGAAAAACCTGTTGATCTCTAAGGTGCTCAAATCTGGACTCAAATCTAGTTGCCCTACCGCAGACCAGCCTGGCTACCCGCCGAAACTATGACAAATTCGGTTTTGAGTGAAACTTCGTCAGACTGTGTCTGTTTATTCAGCTCATTTATCATTTTAAAGCAAACAGCAATTCAAAAACAAGGAGCCTCTTCTGACTCCTCCTCTTTCAGTGCTTTTGTTCTCTCTCTCCTCGTGGTCTTGCAGGAGGGAAGATGCTTCCGCAGATGTCATGTGCAAGCAAGCCTGGGTTTTGTAATAGGGAATAGTATCATTTAGGGTTGGGATTCTGTTTCTTCTTTTCTACAAAATGCATATGAATGGGAATAAGTTTCAATAAAAGTAAACTCTATATAAGTTGCAATTGAAACACAAACAACCAAGGAGCCACAAAGGGTCTCCCACCCACTTTCTGTTAGATGCAACATAACATCAGCTGTGATCTAAAGGAACACGACTAGTTTCAAAGATGTGTTGGTTCATTCGAATCCATTTTTCCATCCCGTACTTTCTAAGAGAAAAGAAATAACCCACGTTCCCCCAAAACACACAGGCTTGGATCCTGTGTAGAATTTTCAGAGGCGCCAAGAGGAGGAGCAATTTTCACTGATCCCCTCTCTCCACCACAGCACAAAATAACCCCCCCCCCCCAATCGCTGCTCCTGGATAATGGGGGACCACCCCCAGGAGGAGCTCGCAGGAAATCAAAGGTCTCTTGCAGGAAGGGGGAATTGGCCTGAGGCCACAGAAAATACAGGCAGAATCCAAGCCATGCTCTTCTATGTGAAATCAGCCCTTAAATACCCAGGTCCTTTCCACACTAGACCTTAAATCTTGGTTCAGCCCCGTCCCCGAACGTTCATTTCTACACGACACATGAATTCACCCCTGTAATTATCTCGGGGTATTTTTACATTCTACACTACACTCGAGTTCACCCATATAATTATACCAGGGGGTTTTTTTTGTTTCCACATAACGTTGAGGTCACCCCAGTTTCACCCCACACTTGTCCCGGGATAAACGGATGCTGTTATAACCAGGGATAAATGCAAGGAGTATTGTGTCCCGAGCTGAACTCTGATAAAACCAGGGATGAGATCCAAGTGCGGAAAGGACCCCAGGTATATAGCAACACTGGTTTGAGCGCTTACAAAACACAATAATGAACAATGCCCTTAAAATAAGTTTGGGATGTCGGAAAGCCTGCCCACATTTCTAGACAGAACTAGAGGAGTTAGCATCTGATGAAGAGAGCTGTGTTTCTTGAAAGCTTACGCTACAATAAAGTTCGTTAGTCTTAAAGGCGCTGCTGGGGGTTTTTTTACTATCTTGACAGAACTGTGATTTCTGAGGAAACGAGGAAGCCACAGACGGAGGCCCCCCCCCGATAGACCGTTCAGTACGTAAACAGTGAAATAAAAGACAGATCATAAAAGAAGGTACATCAGTGTGGATTCTGTGGACCGCGCAGATAAGAATGCAGTTCTTTCATGCACTCCCTGTTGCTCTGTAGCCCCACTGAGGCCTCTAACATACTGGTGATGGAAGTGGTTGGACTCACGCTAACAAAAGCTGTGTGAGCCCGAAGGATGCACCGGGGGCTGGCACTGATCCTTCACCAACGGAGTTTCACTACTGCTAAGAGAAAGGGTCATAGAATCATAGAATGTTAGAGTTGGAAGGGACCTTGCAGGTCATCTAGTCCAACCCCCTGCACTCTGCAGGAGCAGAGCCAAAAGAGAGCCCTACAACATTCCACCCATTGGATCTGGTCTTGCAACCCGGAGCAAGAGAGAATAGATCTGCTCCATCTTCTACATGACAGCCCTTCAAATACTTGAAGACTGCAATCATGTCCCCTCTAAGCCTTCTCTTTCCCAGGCTAAACATACCCAACTCTTTCAGCCTTTCCTCATAAGACTTGGATTCCAACCCTCTCACCATCCTGGTTGCCCTCTTCTGGACACGCTCGAGCTTGTCAACATCCTTCCTAAAATGTGGTGCCCGAAACCGGACACGGGACTCCAGGTGAGGCCTGACCATAACAGAACAGAGCGGAACTACCACCTCCCGTGATCTGGACACAATGCTTCTGTTGATGCATCCTAAGATTGCATTCACTTTCTTCACAGCCACATCGCACTGCAGGCTCCTGTTTAGCTTGTGATCAACCAGAACACCCAGATCCCTTTCACATGTGCTGCTGTCAAGCCAAGTCCCTCCCATTCTATATCTGGGCCTTTGATTTTTTTGTACCTAAGTGTAGGACTTTGCACTTCTCTCTATTGAAATTGGTTTTAGTTGTCTCATCCCACGGCTCCAGCCTATCTAGATCATTTTGAATCCTGACTCTGTCTTCTTCAGAATTAGCCATCCCACCCAGTTTCGTGTTACCTGCAAATTTGTCTTCCTCCAGGTCATCTCTCCTTATATATAATTGAATAGTGGGTGCCAAAGTTCTAATTCTAAAATGCACTCCCTTAGTGTATGGCTGATGGCACTGCTCCTCAGCATATATCGCCACCAATCAGAAGGCAAAGCCCGGGTCCCGCCCACACCACAACTGCTGCGACAACCTGGTCTTTTGCATATGGAAGCTGATTGGACTTCACTCCATTCCACACCTCAAACTCCCCCCCCCCGCAAGGCAGTTGGAATTTTCAGTTGCATAACATACCTCATAGGGGAGAGGAGAATGGGTAACAATGGTTACCACTCTCCAGGTGAGGGCTACAGATAACTCAAACATTCAAATGCTCTTCAGGTAGCAGAGATCAGACCCTCTGGAGAAAACAGTGGACTCTGTCATTAAACCCTGCTGAGGTCGCCACAGGAAACTGACACTGTTTGCCCAAAGCCAGAGCACTCTCCCAGAGCCTCTTTCTAGATCCCGTTGTATTTATTTCTGCAACGGGCATTATTTCTAGTTTATAAATAAATAAAGGGTCAAGTGGCCTGTCCTTTCCCAGCCTCCTCTCCACAGGCCGCCCCCCCAAAGACTGCACGGCTTTTTGTCCACTCAAGTCTTGCAATCTTTAGTATCAGCGTCTTAGCTACACATGTTTGAAGCCATCCTCAAGACCAGGGTTTTTTTTGTAGAAAACCCCCAGCAGGAACTCATTAGCATACTTGGCCACACCCAACAGCAGAAGCGTATTAGCATATTAGGCCACACCCCTGACAGCACAGCTCATTAGCATATGAGGTCACACCCCTGTGTTACCAGAAGTGTGGTCATCCAGCCACACCCACCATTTGCTTCTTATTCTGTTTACCTTGTTTGTTGTCAAAACCCAGGGCTTTTTTTGTAGCAGGAACTCCTTTGCATGTTAGGCCACACACCCCTAATGTAGCCAATCCTAATGCGTTTCTGCTGTTGGGTGTGGCCTATTATGCTAATGAGTTCCTGCTGGGCGTGGCCAACTCAGGAGCCAGCCGGAACTCCGTTCCTGTGCGTTCCTGCCCAATAATAGCCCTGCTCAAGACAAAAATTATATGCATGTCTACATATTAATGGAAGAAAGTTAAAATGCATGGGGGGGGACTGAAGAAAGAATACTGAGATGCGGGGTCCATGAACTGGGGGTGGGGGGGTGATATCAATGGAATGAAACAGAATCCAGATTGACTAGCTGTAATCTCAAAAAAGAAAGGAGAAGCAATGTTGTAAAAGAGAAGGTTTCGCTCTGCATCGCTCCGGGCTCGGGCCTGGTTTGCTGATCGCTCTGCTCCGCCCTAAAGAATCACCAAAGCGGCTCACCGTAATTAGATTAGTTAAAATGCATCAAATCACAGGGGGTGGGGGTGGGGGGGATCACATTTTTCCAAAATTAACACGAAATTTAATTTAAAATAAATCAGATCATCCTCCAAAACAAATTTAATCCTCCTGCCACCAAGAGAGTAAACAGCACAGGAGACACACTACAAAAAGCCGTTAGTGGGTTAGGAAAAGAAACACACAAACACACAAAGTTCCCTTATACTGAACCAGACCTTCAGTCCGTCAAGGTCACGACTGTCTACTCTGGTGGGCTGGGGCTCTCTGGGGTATCAGGAAGAGCTCCCTCACATCACCTGCCACCAGATCCTTTTATCTCGAGATGCCGGGGATTGAACCAGGGACCTTCTGCGTACCCAGCAGATGGTCTACCTCTGAGCCACAGCTCTTAAGAACATAACGGAAACCATGTTGGATCAGGCCAACGGCCCATCCGGTTCAACACTCTGTGTCACCCAGCGGCCAAAACCCAGGGTCCCTCAGGAGGTCCACCAGCGGGGCCAGAACTCCAGAAGCCCTCCCATTTTGGGGCCCCCAAGCACAAAGGAGACAGAGCATCACTGCCCCAGACATAAGAACATAAGGGAAGCCATGTTGGATCAGGCCAACGGCCCATCCAGTCCAACACTCTGTGTCACCCAGTGGCCAAAACCCAGGGCCCCTCAGGAGGTCCACCAGCGGGGCCAGAACTCCAGAAGCCCTCCCATTTTGGGCCCCCCAAGTACAAAGAATACAGAGAACATCACTGCCCCAGACATAAGGACATAAGAGAAGCCATGTTGGATCAGGCCAAAGGCCCATCCAGTCCAACACTCTGTGTCACACAGTGGCCAAAACCCAGGGCCCCTCAGGAGGTCCACCAGCGGGGCCAGAACTCCAGAAGCCCTCCCATTTTGGGGCCCCCAAGTACAAAGAATACAGAGAACATCACTGCCCCAGACATAAGGACATAAGGGAAGCCATGTTGGATCAGGCCAATGGCCCATCCTGTCCAACACTCTGTGTCATGCAGAGGTCTTTCACACCACCTACCGCCTGGTCCTTTTAAACTGCAGGTGCCGGAGATCGAACTCGGGGCCTTCTGCATGCCAAGCAGATACTCTGCCACTGAGCCATGGCCCCTCCCCCAAAGGCTGTGCTACACAGTATGCTGTTCAGCGGCAAAGAAAGGGAGGACAAACTTGGTAGGGTTGCCAATTCTGAGTCAGGAAATACCCGGAGATTTGGGGGGTGGCGCCTGAGGAGGGGAGGGTTTGGGGGAGGGACTCCCACCTTCCAAAGCGGCCATTTTCCTCCAGGTGAACTGATCTCTGTTACCTGGAGGTCAGTGGCAATCCTAGGAGATCTCCAGTCTCCACCTGGAGGCTGGCAACCCTAAAGCTAGGACCGTTTCCCAGATAATCCTGGAAAGGGAGAGAACGAGGCACCCTTTTAAGGCTGAGACTTGTGCGGTGTTTTGGTGGGGGTTTTTTTTAGATGAATTTAATAAATAATGTAGGATTTTGCAAGCTAAAGCAATTTGAGCTTTTAACTGGCTCCTCTGCTGTCTTCTGTGTTTCCATCTTCCATGGAAACAATCAGTGCTTTTTTTGTGTGTTAAAAAAGAGTAAGCACCAGCACTGATATATAAGGTTGCACTTATGATTTTCACCGATTCCCCCCTAGGACCTGGGAGAGGCTCCCCCACCCCGCCCAAACGTGGCGGTAAAGGTAAAGGTCTCCCTTGCTCGAATACCAGTCGAATCCGACTCTAGGGTTGCGGTGCTCATCTCCATTTTAAAGCCGAAGAGCCAGCGCTGTCCGAAGATGTTTCCATGGTCATGTGGCCGGCATGACTAAACACCAAGGTGCACGGAACGCTGTTCCCTTCCCACCGAAGTGGTACCTATTTATCTACTTGCAATTTCTTGCTCTCGAACTGCTTGGTTGGCAGGAGCTGGAACTAGAGACGGGAGCTCATGCAGGACACTTGGGTCTGGAACTGCTGAACTACTGTCAGTCTGGAGCAGCCGAACAAAGTTCGAGTCCAGTGGCACCTTTTAAGGCCAACAAAATTCTGGCTATAAGCTTTCGTGTGCAGGTACACTTGTAAAGGTAAAGGTAAAGGTTCCCTTGCTTGAAAGCCAGTCGAGTCCGACTCTAGGGTTGCGGTGCTCATCTCCGTTTCCAAGCCGAAGAGCCAGCGCTGTCCGAAGACGTTTCCGTGGTCATGTGGCCGGCATGACTAAACACCAAGGCGCACGGAGCGCTGTTCCCTTCCCACCGAAGTGGTACCTATTTATCTACTTGCAATTTCTTGCTTTCGAACTGCTAGGTTGGCAGGAGCTGGAACGAGAGACGGGAGCTCACTCCATCATGCGGCACCCGGGTCTCGAACTGCTGAACTACTGACCTTCCACAGCCTGCAGTTCAGCGTCTTAACCACTTGAGCCACCGCAGCTCCTAAACGTGGCGGTACTCCTTGCTTATGAGTACCACCACCACAAAAAGGACACGGAGAAACTGGCGCATCTCTTATGTCCTACTGGTGTTGTGTTCACCGATCCTGTTATATCGGGTGGGACTGCAAAGCGAAATAGATAAATACTAGAAATAAGGCCCGTTGTGGAAATAAATACAACGGGATCTAGAAAGAGGCTCTGGGAGAGTGCTCTGGCTTTGGGCAAACAGTGTCAGTCTGCTTTTAAAACATGAACCTGGGACCTGCACACCACCAGAATACAGCAGATTCCATATGCAACTGACATTCCAACTGCCTTGCGGGGGGGGGGAGTTTGAGGTGTGGAATGGAGTGAAGTCCAATCAGCTTCCATATGCAAAAGACCAGGTTGTCGCAGCAGTTGTGGTGTGGGCGGGACCCGGGCTTTGCCTTCTGATTGGTGGCGATATATGCTGAGGAGCAGTGCCATCAGCCATACACTAAGGGAGTGCATTTTAGAATTAGAACTTTGGCACCCACTATTCAATTATATATAAGGAGAGATACAGGGGATGAGGCTCCAAAGAGCTGACCGGGCCAACGTCCTGCGTCTTCTCTGCAACAGTAGGAACGTGCGCATTCGCTGCCAAGTCTCACCTTCGTGAACGGAAGAGGTGATCTCTACTTTGAACTGGAGATAGCCACTGACGTGGTCAGCTGGAAGCCTCCTGCCAAGGTTATAGCTGAGAGTCTGGTCTCTGCGAACGCGAACAGAATATGTCCGTCAATCTTTATTACAGCCCACAAGCCCCACTGAAGCAGAACAAACAACGTTCAATTAAGTAATTACCTAAAATTATCTCTCTACTTACATGATGCAACCGAGTACATCAGACAGTAGAAGAGGAGAAGAAGAAGAGATTGGGTTTATACTCCACCCTTCACTACCCGAAGGTGTCTCAGAGCGGCTTACAAACTCCTTTCCCTTCCCCTCCCCACAACAGACACCCTGTGAGGTAGGTGGGGCTGAGAGAGCTCTTTTGAAGACTGCTCCTGAGAGAACAGCTCTGAGAGAAGAAGAGAGAAGAGATTGGATTTATACCCCGCCCTTCACTACCCGAAGGAATCTCAGAGCGGCTTACAAACTCCTTTCCCTTCCCTTCCCCTCCCCTCAACAGATACCCTGTAAGGTAGGTAGGGGCTGAGAGAGCTCAGAGGGAACTGCCCTTGAGAGAACAGCTCTGAGAGAACTTGTGAGTGACCCAAGGTCACACCAGCAGCTGCATGCGGAGGAGTGAGGAATCAAACCCGGTTCCCCCAGATTAGAGTCCACGCTCCTAACCACTACACCAGACTGGCTCAGTGAGAAGGATCAGAAGGTTATCAGAGTAAACTATACACAAGACGTTACCTCAGCCAGCGTTTTCATAGCTGAGGGCAGAAACGCTGCTACTTGTACCATGATTCTTCGGTTGGTTGCAGCCAATAAAATTTTTAAGAGTCTCTCTTCTCAGAAAACAGTTTTTCTAATCAGCTAAAAACAAGTTCCAGTAAATCTAGGCATGCATGACTATATAAAATCTTCAATGAAATAATGCATGAACCAGTGATTCAACCGTTATGAGAGCAGGGATAAAAATCTATGATTTAGCTGGAATATTTTCCTTTCTTCTTGTCACTGGTCAACAGTAGCACCTTAGAGACTAACAAAATGTGTGGCCAAATGAGTCACTGCCAGTGTTCCCTCTAAGCTGAGTTCGTGTGAGCCAGCTCACAGTTTTTTTAGCCTCCGGCTCACACATTTTTGCCTCAGCTCAGGAAGGAGGGCTCCAGAGCAAACAGATTTATGCAGCAGTCGAATCGCTCGCTCACAGCTTTAATGCCAGGAGCTCACAAAGTAGATTTTTTGCTCACAAGACTCCACAGCTTAGAGGGAGCACTGCTCACTTCTTCAGATACCACTAGAATAACTCGCTGTGTCTGAAAAAGTGAGCCGTGACTCACGAAAGCGTCTTCCCTGCCACAAATTTTGTTGGTCTTTCAGGTGCTCCTGGACTCTGGCTTTTTCCTACTGCTACAGACAGACGAACACGGCCACCCGTCTTGATTTACAGGCAAACAGAATTATCAGTTCTCTCTGGCCCTCTAATGTTCAAAACTGAACCAGAATGGCGGTGGGGAGGAGGAGACCTGAATGGTGTCATGCCTGGTATATTGCTATTAGTGCACTTAAATTTCCCCAGGGCTCTTTTTGTAGAAAAAGCCCAGCAGGAACTCATTAGCATAATAGGCCACACCCAACAGCAGCAACTCATTAGCATATTGTGCCACACCCCTGACAGCACAGCTCATTAGCACATTAGGCCGCACCCCCATGTTACCAGAAGTGTGGTCATCCAGCCACACCCACCTTTTGCTTCTTATTCTGTTTGCCTTGTTCATTGTCCAAACCCAGGGCTTTTTTGTAGCAGGAACTCCTTTGCATGTTAGGCCACACACCCCGAATGTAGCCAATCCTAATGAGTTCCTGCTGGGCGTGGCCACCTCGGGAGCCAGCCGGAACTCCGTTCCTGCCCAAAAATAGCCCTGAATTTCCCCAACGGGGCAAACACGGGTAGAGAAGACCTCTCCCTAGGTAGTGAGGATATAATCCAGACGGGGCCCTTGGTTGCCTGGAAATCCCAGAGCACACCTGCTTGACAGGGCGGACATCCAGGGGACACAAGGACTTTGTAATGTGTCGTTAGGCCCGAGTCCTCTCCCAGTGTCCTCACCGCTGAACCTCCCTGGCTCTCAAGTTTTAATTATGCAATTTTATTTATTTATATTCTAATTGCATTCCGCCCCAAGAACCATGCTAAAAACGTGACAGTACAATAACAATAATAAAACTATAATGTCAATAAAATCCCACTAATCCTCCTTCCCCCAGAGTATGAAATAGTACAGCCTGTTTAATCACCCCCTAGTCCAATATTCTTACTGCTGTACCACCTGGGCTCTCAAGTTTTAATTATGTAATCCCCCTCCCCCCAGAGTATGAAATGGTGCAGCCCGTTTAACCATCTTGGAATTCTGCAACCTCATTCTGCTTCAAGTGTAGACCAGGCCCCAGCACCTACAGGCTGTCTGTCCACACCAGGGTTGCCAGACCCCCCGCCCACCCGTGGCTCTGCCGATCAGCTGGCCGGTGGTGGTGGTGGGGCTTACTTGGGAAAACAGTGAGGTCCAGTTGACGTTGCAGCAGTGTGTCTACATCACTTCCAGCATGGTCCAGAAGTGACATCATCATGTCGACAACATCAGGGTGATGCTCTAGTATTTGGGCAAAAACTCTATGGTAAAAGCCAAATTTACCATAGAGCTTTTGCCCAAATAGCAGAGTGCCACCCTGACATTGTTGCATGATGACATCATTTCCGGGTCACATAGGAAGCAATGCAGACACATCGCTGCAACATTGGCTCAGCCTCCCTCCCGCTCCCGGTAAGTCCCCCCCATCCCCACACCGCATCACTTTCAATGGAATAAAAATTTGTAGGTGTGAAGAAGAAGAAGAGGACTTGACAGAAACGGCTCTTTTTCAAGAACAGCTCTTATCAGAACTACGGCTTGCCCAAGGTCATCCAGCCAGGTGCGAGTGGAGGAGTGGGGAATCAAACCCGGCTCTCCCAGATTAGAGTCCACGCACTTAACCACCACACCAAACTGGCATTCAGGCATTCAACCCATTGAAAATAACACAGCGCATATGGTCAGCATTCAACATAGATCTGAATGCAAGTTCCGGTTACAACGCTGTTTCTGATCCACTAAGGAACAGTTCTGATTCCTGTTCAGCTGGGATCACACAGTCAGTTCTTATTTGTGCGGTGAGGGGTCACTGAAAATTTCAGGCCCTCCTCCCAATCCTGTTGTGCCACAAATTCAGCCCTTACTAAGTCTGAAAAGCAACATGAAAAAAAAGTTAATATTATGCAAGGGTCATTTCCTGTGGGAGCGCACAGGAGCGGAACTCCAGCAGTAAGGAGCCCAGGGGACGGGCACATGCAACAAGCCCCGCCCCCTGCTCCCAGCAGCCCTCAATTGGGCCGCGAGGAGCAAGAAGCAGCCAGGCAAGTTGCAGAGGCCCCCCCCGCCCCGCCCCCCCCGGCCCAAAACTGTCCAGTGGAACTTGAAGACCAAGTTTTATTCAGGTACAAGCTCTCCCTCCTCTGCGAGGACAGATCTGCACGTTCCCCCCCCCCATCACTAGCAATCCAAAAGAGTCCAGTGGAAAAAGAAGAAGAAGAGATTGGATTTATACCCCGCCCTTCACTTGGAGTCTCAGAGCGGCTTACAAACTCCTTTCCCTTCCCCTCCCCACAACAGACACCCTGTGAGGTGGGTGGGGCTGAGAGAACTCTGACACAAACTGCTCTTTCAGGAACAGCTGTGCCAGAGCTTGTGACTGACCCAAGGTCACATCAGCAGGTGCAAGTGGAGGAGTGGGGAATCCGCGGCACGAGCGGGGCAGACAGGCTTGCTGTGAAATTGAAAAAAATGCTTCGGAGCAGGAAACTCCAGAGGAAACCAGGCGCAAGTGCCTAGTGAGAAATCGCCCCTACTCTCCAAGATGGATGCTTCGAGGTTTCTGAATCTTAGTACATGGGAACATTCTGCCCCCCAGTGGCAGAATTTATATTATTTCCTCGGCTGAATACAACCTCTTTTGTTTTCTTTTGGGGTCTGAAGACTGCAAATGTCCTGGGCGTATTTATAGCTTTAATCACATGAATGACCTCTGCGAGTTTCACTGCAAGGAAGATGCACTTGAATATTTTATTTAACAAGCTTTAGGGTGCCTTTTCCTGCAAGATGTGGTGCAAAGTAGCGAACGTCTGGGGAAAGTGCTATTGATTTTGATGAGATAGCTGCTCAGACTTTGTCACAGAGAACCTCCGCTAAGCATAAAAAGGAGCCCTCCCCTCAACCACACGAGACCTCGTTTTAAGTCTGTTAAGGTCTAGAACTGAGCCAAACTGTCATGAATTTTCCATTTTTCTATCAAACATTTTGTCAGGAGGAGTTCTTCCATGTAGAAATGATTACAGAATCTGGTTAAAATTGTAAGGTTATTGTAAACATGTATCAATATGAGTTGTTATGTGAGTGTACGAAAACTGTACGGAAATTTAGGTTTAGCCTAGGTTTTCTGGGAGTACCTACCGGCCGATGATGTTATAATAATTCTACTTTTAGATTGCTCTTTTTTGTGTGAACTTAATAAATATTTCTCCTGCCAACCTAGCAGTTCGAAAGCAAGAAATTGCAAGTAGATAAATAGGTACCACTTCGGTGGGAAGGGAACAGCGTTCCGTGCGCCTTGGTTTTTAGTCATGCCGGCCACATGACCACGGAAACGTCTTTGGACAGCGCTTGCTCTTCGGCTTGGAAACGGAGATGACCACCGCAACCCTAGAGTCAGACTCGACTGGCTTTCGAGCAAGGGAGACCTTTACCTTTACCTTTAATAACTATTTCATTTTAAAAAAACTGTCAGAAATGGTTGGGGAGGGTGAACATTTTGGAGAACAGTTAAGCAAAGCCGACAACATGAAAAGTAGAAATGTTTTTATGCTTATGATCCAAGCCCTGGTTACGCATCGCAGCTTCAACAGAGCTCTGGAAAAGCCCTCCGAGGCTGTTCCTTTAAGCACCTGGGATCTTTCTGCGTGAACTCGTTCAAAGGCCTCTCTGAGAGGAAAGGTCAGACCTTGAAAGAGAAGGAGCTAAGCTGTCCTTGTCTTACTAAGCTTGAGGAAACTCCTAAACAAACGGTTACACAGGCAAGGTAATTTTCAATATCCTTAAACCCTCGAGCTCGGGGGTCCCCAACGCGGTGCCCTCGGACTCCACAGTGCCCGCCAACACATTACCTGGTGCCCTCCAAAAGCTTTCAGAAATTGGGTAGGGAAGAGTTGACAGTCCCCACCTGAGACCTGGAGATCTCCTGGAACTACAAGGGATCTCCAGATGGCAGAGATGACTTCCCCCAGAGAAAATGGCTGCTTGGGAGGGTGGAGTCTATGGCATTATACCAAGCTGAGGTCCCTCTCCTCCCCAAACCCATATGAACATAAGAGAAGCCAATGTTGGATCAGGCCAATGGCCCATCCAGACCAACACTCTGTGTCACACAGAGTGGCCAAAAATACCAGGGGCCACCAGGAGGTCCAGCAGTGGGGCCAGGAGACCAGGAGCCCTCCCACTGTTGCCCCCACCCCCAAGCACCCAGAATACAGAGCATCCCTTGCCCCAGACTGAGAGTTCCTATCTATACCTAACATAAGAACATAAGAGAAGCCAATGTTGGATCAGGCCAATGGCCCATCCAGACCAACACTCTGTGTCACACAGAGTGGCCAAAAATACCAGGGGCCATCAGGAGGTCCAGCAGTGGGGCCAGGACACTAGAAGCCCTCCCACTGTTGCCCCCCCCAGCACCCAGAATACAGAGCATCATCTGCCCCAACCTGTGAGTTCCTATCTACCGCACCCCTCCCCAAGCCCCACCCCTAAAATCTCCAGTTATTTCCCAACCCGGAGCCGGCAACCCTATGAATCCTATGAGACTTATTCCAGAAGAAGACATCCAGAGCTATCACTGGGCCATAAAAATGTTCTAGTCAACAACACCACTACCAGTTTGGTGTGGTGGTCAGGAGTGCGGACTCTCATCTGGGAGAACTTGGTTTGATTCCCCACTCCTCCACACGCAGCCAGCTGGGGGACCTTGGGTCAGTCACAAGTTCTCTCAGAGCTGTTCTCTCTCAGGAGCATCCTCGAAAGAGCTCTCTCAGCCCCGCCTATCTCACCGGGTGTCTGTTCTGGGGAGGGGAAGGGAAAGGAGATTGTAAGCCGCTCTGAGACTCCGAGTGAAGGGCAGGATATAAATATAATCTCTTCTTCTTCTTTTTATACAACCACAAAAGGTGAACACCCTGGGCTTTTAAAAAAGCCTACGAAGAGTTTAAAATATCCACAACTGTCCCTATTACAACTTTCTAGAATCCGGGAGTGTGCAACTTCATTAAAAACACCTCTGTTGTGTTCCCTGCAAAGATCTCAACTAAAGCTGGGGGGGGAGGGGCACAATTAATTTCAACAGTAGTTGCATGGGATAAAATGCTTAGTAGAATGGATCAACAGCATACACTCTGGAAACTGTTTAAGTACACCAAGAGTGTTTCCAGATGGAAAGGCCTTGGGGCTTTACCGTGTGGGACCTGCATACCTGACACTCATGAGCCATACAGAGAATGCAGCCATCCAATCGCCACTATCAATACCCCCTCTAAGCTTCGGGGTCTTGTGAGCAAAAATTCTACCTTGTGAACTCCTGGCATTAAAGTGGTGAGCGAGCGATTTGGCTGCTGCGTAAGTTCCTTTGCTCTGGAGCCGTCCTGAGCGGAGACGAAAATGGGTGAGCCGGAGGTGAAAGAACTGTGAGCTCGCTCACACTGACTCAGCTTAGAGGGAACACTGGCCACTATCCCAAACACGGTGATGGGAAGGATCGGTGCAGTGGCCTATTAGCGGTAACTTCACTTACTGCTGAACAACTTTTGAGTCCAGTGGCACCTTTAAGGATTAACAACGTTCTATTCAAGGTATGCGCTTTTGTGTGCAAGGACACTTCCCTCAGGTACAGACAATGAATGCCAACACTCTGTGTGCTGGGAGAAATTTCCCTCCTCCTCCCACGCTACCAGAAATTAGGGGCACCTGACAACATAAAGTACCACTTCGCACACAACACAGTTCGCTTGTGGTGCACATCCAGCCTGGACTGAAAGCGCTGCACTGGCTGTCAATAGCATACCGAATCCACTTCAAAGTGCTGGTACTTACCTTTAAAGCCCTACATGGCCGGGGTCCGACTTACCTGAGGGACCGCCTCTCCCCATATATACCCCCAAGAGCACTTCAGTCCGGGGCACAACATCGCCTGGTGGTTCCAGGCCCCCGGGAGGCAAGGCTCGCCATGACTAGGACCAGATCCTTTTCAGTGGTGGCCCCTACCTGGTGGAACGAGCTCCCGGAGGAGATCAGGGCCCTGCGGGACCTTATGCAGTTCCGCAGGGCCTGTAAGATGGAGCTCTTCCGCCAGGCTTTCACATAGGGGCCACCCACTACCACCGCCACCAATGAGGTGGACAACATCGGGGTTAAGGATGGCCCGGGAAGATCTGCCACAATTTCTGCGTGACCGATACCACTGGGTTTACCTGGTTGAGTTATAGGATAACATCATCCTTGGAGAACTGTCTGTTTACCATCTGGCATGTATCCAGAGACCATCTTGTTAAATTGAGTACAATTGTTATTAATTGTTATTAATGTTTTTATTGTTTTATCTGTTTTATACGGGCTTTGCCCCTTGTAAGCCGCCCTGAGCCCGCTCTGCGGGGAGAGCGGGGTATAAATCTTAATAATAAATTTTAAAAATGTGGAACCAAAGGCTACAGGATGTAGTGACAGCCACCAGCTGGGCTTTAAAAAGAGGTTAGACAAATTTCATGGAGGCTAGAGTCTACCAGTGGCTGGTAGTCATGAAGCCAAAATTGGGTCTCCACGTTCAGAACCAATAGCCTTCAAGGTACCAGTTGCTTAGGGGGCAGCAACTGGGCTTTGCCCTCTATAGCCCTGCTGTGGACCTTCCAGGGCACAGCGGGTAAGAAGATGCTGGGGGCGCGACAGACCATTGATCTGATCCGGCAGGGCTCCTCTCATAGTCTTCAAAGAAATATGACCCCTCCAAGGACGCCCAGGGTCACTTCGCCAAGGCAGGCAATGGCAAACCACCTCTATTAGTCTCTTGCCTTGAAAACCCTACAGAGTCACCGGTAAGGTGGCTGCAACTTAGCAATGTTTTCCACCTCTGCATGATGTTTCACGTGCTATATTCCAAGGTCTTCACTAAACGCTGTGTTCACTATCCTTTTAATATCTATGTTTTTCTTTCCTATGACATATGCATCTATCTGGCCTGCTGATTGGCATTACCCTGGGTCATTTCGTAGAAAAAGAGGGGCAGGAGCTCGTTAGCATAACTTATTAGCATAACTTATTTGCATAACTTATTTGCATATGCCACACCCCCTGACATCACTGGAAGTGTGTCAGAAGGCAACACCCACCGCTCAGGCTCCACTGGACTGTTTTGGATTGCTAGCTATGGGGGGGGGGGGGACGTGCAGATCTGTCCTCACAGCGGAGGGAGAGCTTGTAATCTGAATAAAACCTGGTCTTAAAGGTCCCACTGGACTTTTTTGGGCTGGGGGCCTGGGGGGGGGGGCTCTGCAGCTTACCTGGCTGCTTCTTGCTCTGACTGAGGGCTGCTGGGAGCAGGGGGTGGGGCTTGTTGCATGTGCCCGCCCCCTGGGCTCTTTACAGCCGGAGCTCCGCTCCTGTGCGCTCCTGCAGGAAATGACCCCTGGGCATTACCCTGGGCATGTAAGAAGGGGCCGTGAGAGCCAAGCACTGGCTCACGCCTTCTTTGCCCTCCTGATCTGCCTAAATGCATACTGAGCCACAGAATCTGCATTGCTGTCAGGCGGCCATCTAGCCACTGTTTAATAATCTCCAAAGAAGGGGAGCGAGCCCACCACCTCCCGAGGAAGCCTGTTCCACTTTAAAAACTACTATAAATGTGAGGACGTTCTTCCGAATGTTTAGCTGAAAACTCTTCTGATTTAATTTCAGTCCATTGCTTCTGGTTAGTCCTCCTGGGGCAACAGAAAACAACTCTGCTCCATCCTCTGAATGACAGCCCTTCAAATACTTGAAGATGGTTGTCATATCAACTCTCAGGCATCTCCTCTCCAGGCTAAACACATCCAGTTCCTTCAGCTTCTCCTCATAGGACGTGGTCTCCTGACTCCTCACCATCTTTGTTGGTGAGTTAGTGTGTAACAAAGAGAAATTCAGATTCAGGCGGGTAGCCGTGTTGGTCTGAAGCAACAGAGCAAAGTTTGGGTCCGGTGGCACCTTTTAAGACCAATAAAGTTTGATTCTGGGTGTAAGTTGCCGTGCATACGCTTATACCCAGAACTAAACTTTATCAACTTTAAAGGTGCCACCGGGCTCAAACTTTGTTCTAAAGAGAAATGTAGGCTTTGAAAAGAAACAAATTCAAAACTCAGGGGTAAGATTACCAAGAGTTTGACGTCCATGTCAAAGCAGCTGCTTATGAGTACACTTAAGCTTTGTTTGGAAAAGACAACCTTCCTTTTCCTCTTGGGGGATGCAAAACAAACAACGAAAGCGTCTTGGTTTACCCAATTGCATTCCTTTCCAACAGCCTCTGGACTGGAATCGTGAGTTTCCCGAGAAAGCGCTTGATGATAGGCCGACTCTTGGCAAATTTGTCTTTGATCTCAATTTCCAAGACATCCGTGAGAAGCGCTACAAAAGAATATTTCTGGAAAGAAGAAAAAAACAACATATATTGTATATCACATCCATAAAGCGAATATCACGATCGACAATAAAGAGTACCTACGGTAGTAGAAAATGTAATCAAATTGCAGCCGGTGGAAAATGCAGTCAAGTTACAGCCGACATGGTGACCAGTGTTCCCTCTAAGCCGAGTTAGTGTGAGCTGGCTCACAGTTATTTAGCCTCCGGCGCACACGTTTTTGTCTTAGCTCAGGAAGGAATGCCTCCAGAGCAAACTGATTTATGCAGGAGCCAAATCGCCTGCTCACAACTTTAGTGCCAGTGGCTCACAAAGTAGAATTGTTGCTCACAAGACTCCACAGCTTAGGGGGAGCATTGAGTGACACCCCCCCCACAGGGTTTTCAAGGCAAGAGATGCGCAAAGGTGGATTTGCCATCGCCTGCCTCTGCGTCACAACCCTGGTATTCCTTGGAGGTCGCCCTTCGAAATACTAGCCATGGCTTACACTGCTTAGCTTCTGAGAACTGACAAGCTCGAGCTCGCCTGGGCCATCCAGGTTAGCGCAAGAGTACACAGAGCATCACTCATTTGCCCTCACATATCTATAAAAACAAGCGGCCTCCATCCATACAAATCATGACAAGCTCAGGACCCGGCCAAAGTGGGGGGGGGAAGAGCCTAGAGAGGGGGCAGAGCTGAGGATGGGAAGCCAACGGGGTCCTAGAGCCCTCCGCTTTCTCCTCTGCTGTCTCTGTCGGATGGATGGCTCTGGTTTGGAGGAATCTTTAAATACTGGTCCAAGATATTTCTAACCTTTTCAGGAGAAAATATAGTTGACCAGAGAGAAGTACTACTGGACATGTGATTGCACTGGAGGCTTCATTTGTATTTTTGTATTTCTTTTTTTTGCCCAGTGGTTAAACTTTGGAACAATTGTTTTCTGGTCTTTATTCCATATTTTGTATATGTATGATTGTATATATTTTTACATATCAGCCAACATGTTCTATTTGTATTAGACCTCTGAGGAAGGCCTGTAAAGGCCGAAACGCGTTAGGTCTGTTTCATTAGCCTTTGTATGTTTTTATATTTGTATATGAGGTATGAATGGGCCCTTGTTTGTTATTTTAATTTGTGTTGAATAAATACATGTATATTTTTGTATGTTTCATAATTAGATTTCTAGAGTTGGCCCTCTTCCATTCTTGACTAACCTTTTTAGGTTCTGAATTCTAGATTTTAGGTTCAGGTTTTTTTCCCCTTTTCTGTTTTTTGTCCTTTCCAAGATATTTCTAACCTTTTGCCTCTGGATGGCAGTCTTTTCCTGGGAACTGTTTTAGGGTTTAGATGGGTCGCCCCGTGTTGGCCTGAAGCAGCAGAACAAAGTCTGAGTCCAGCGGCACCTTTAAGACCAACAAAGTTTTATTCTGGGTATAAGAATTCATGTGCGTGCACGCTCCTTCAGGTATCTGAAGTCTCTTCAGGAGGAGGAGGAGGTTGGATTTATACCCCGCCCTTCACTACCCGAAGAAGTCTCAGAGCAGCTTACAAACTCCTTTCCCTTCCCCACCTCCCCACAACAGACACCCTGGGAGGCGGGTGGGGCTGAGAGAGCTCTCTTGAGAACTGACCTTGAGAGAACAGCTCTCAGAGAACTTGTGACTGACCCAAGGTCACACCAGCAGCTGCATGTGCAGGAACGGTGAATCAAACCCAGCTCTCCCAGATTAGAGTTCACACTCTTAACCACTATACCAAACTGGCTCTCTTCAGGTATCTGAAGAAGTGTGCACGCACAGGAAAGCTTATACCCAGAATAAAACTTTGTGGGCCTTAACGGCGCCACTGGACTCAACCTTTGGTTTAGAGTTTGTTTCCTCTTTCTGCTGTTGGCGTCAGGTTGGGTGCCTTCCCTCAGGGACCTTCCTGAAGGGTTTTTTCCAGCTCTCCTGAACCCGGGGCACCTCCGCTCTCTCTCCCCCTCTATTCCTCTCCGCGTGCCTAACGTCTCTTCCTCTCCCTCCCACCTAAGGCTGTTCAGGCTCACATTAGAGAGATGCAAGAATTCCCACGCTCACGTCCAGGAGAGAATGACGACCAGAAAACATATAAGGCATTCTTGTTAATGGAGCTCAGTTACATTTTTATCACCTGCCTAAAGTCCACCTGTATCAGCCTCCCCTGTCGTTTCACCTCAAGGGCGAGCTAATTCAGACCTCCAGACAAGTAGCAGGATCCTCTCCTCTCGAGTAGGTCTCCTGTCCCTGGGTTCCCCTCCAGGGATAAAAGGAAGCTCTCACTGATTGCACCGTCCCACACACTTGCTTTCTCCAAAAGTCAACATATCTTTATTTAAGAGGAGCAAAGATTAAAAAAAAGCACAGCTCCAGAGATAAAAACACCGGGAGAAATAATAATATTTAAAACACTGAGGCAATGTGCTGAGTGGCTGAAGGAGTAGTTCTCAAGCCACTAGAACGGAGACGTTCCTGAGCAGAGTGCTGGAAAGTTGGAGTTATTCTCAACAGGAGGTTGGCAAGGCTACAACCAGGAGAAAAAGAGAATGAAAAGTCCTTTACTTGCTTTTCTCTCCTCAACTGTTGTCTCTGTTCCACTGCCCGCGTAGTCAGTAACGGTGCGACAATTAGCTGCAGCTGCCCTTTGAACAACTGCCAAGTTTTCTTATATCCTCCCTACGGCCCAGGTGGTATTTTGCTTCAGAGCCTTAAGGGGGACGCACCACAATACCAAATAACATTGCTATACACCACCTCACCGAAATCTCTCCGGCCCTCTGCTCCATTGAGTCAGTTGAGCTTAAGAGAAATTCGGTCCTCTCTACTGACTTCCTATAAAGCATTTTTAAAAGAGCAGGAAATCGCCTCAACAGACGCGTCTAAAACAGATAGGGTTGGCAGTTCCTACCTGGCAGCCGGTGAGGGGCTCCCGGATCCCGCTGGGACCTGGGAGCTGGGAACCCTAAAAACAGACTGCTTTCCCACCATTTAACTTTGAATTTAACAGCAGGCTATGCCACTGCAGGGTTCGAGTTATTACAGATGCCAAGCTCCAGGTGGTGGCTGGAGATCTCCTGGGATTACAACTGATCTGCAGGTGACAGAGATCAGTCCCCCTGGAGAAAATGGCTGATTTGGAGGGCGGGCTATATGTAATTGTAACCAGTTTGAGACCCGAGTGTGCCGCATGACGGAGTGAGCTCCCGTCTCTAGTTCCAGCTCCTGCCAACCTAGCAGTTCGAAAGCAAGGAATTGCAAGTAGATAAATAGGGACCACTTCAGTGGGAAGGGAACAGCGTTCCGTGTGCCTTGGTGTTTAGTCATGCCGGCCACATGACCACGGAAACGTCTTCGGACAGCGCTGGCTCTTCGGCTTTGAAACGGAGATGAGCACCGCAACCCTCGAGTCGGATTCGACTGGCTTTCGAGCAAGGGAACCTTTACCTTGACCTTTAAGTCTTTCCCAAATCCTGTCCGCCTCAGGCTCCACCCACAAAATCTCCATATATTCCCCAAACTCAGAGCTGGCGGCCCTAAACATATCCGTTAAAACATTCTGACATCCAGTTATTTCAACAATCCCAATCAACCCACTTTTTTTGCATCAGACTTACTCCCGGGATGGTTAATTAACAACAACAATAGCGGCAGCCCCAAAAGGTACGGACTCAGACTTATTCCGTGCATTTTAAAAACTCCAAGAATCCATTAAGACAGTCTCGGAGGGGGGAAATCAGAAGGAATTTCGGGCTCAGGCAAGAGGAGCATGGGTACATTTGGTTAGTTCTGCGTTGCACAGGACACCACAAGGCCCAGGAGGAGGAGATCGCCTGCATTTGAATTAAATGTATCATTACTGCAGAAATAAGCTGCAGGGGGGGGGGGAATGTAGGACAACAGAAGAAGAGCGTTTCATTCAAGGAAACGATAATCCAATTACCCTACTTTCTGCACGGTTTGAGAATCAGAAGCCATGCCTCTAGAAACGTGACAGAGTAGAGTCGTGAGGGTTTGCATCTGCGGCCTTTGAAACAGTTTTGCACAGGCTCATTAGAGGAGTAGGATTTCAAACTTTATTCCCTGGGGACCCCCCCCCCTCTAGGGTTCCCAGGTCCCCCGTTGTTCACTGGCGAGGGATGGGGGGGTTGGATTGCCAAATCCATGCTAGAAAACTCATAGAGATTTGGGGATGGAGCCTGGGGAAGACAGGGAATTACCCTACTTTCTGCACGGTTTGAGAAACGGAAGCCGTGCCTCTAGAAACGCGACAGGGTAGAGTCGTGAGGGTTCGCATCTGCAGCCTTTGAAACAGTTTTGCACAAGCTCATTAGAGGCATAGGATTTCAAACTTTATTCCTTGGGGACCCCCCCCCCTAGGGTTCCCAGGTCCCCCCTTGTCCACTGGCGAGGGATGGGGGGGTAGGATTGCCAAATCCATGCTAGAAAACTCCTAGAGATTTGGGGGTGGAGCCTAGGGGAGGACAGGGACCCTCAGTGGGGTACAGTGCCATAGAGTCCACCCTCCAAAGCATCCATTAGGGTAACTGATCTCTGTAGTCTGGAGATGAGCTGTAATTCTGGGGGACCCCCCAGATCCCATCTGGAGGCCGGTATCCCTAACCCCCTCCCCAAGTTACAAGGGAGTCGTTACCGGCTAAATATCAGAAGAAACTTCCTAACTGTCAGAGTGGTGGAGCAGTGGAACAGTCTGCCTCGGGAGGTGGCGGATGCTCCTTCGCTGGACGCTTTCGAGCAGAAACTGGACGACCCTCTTTCAGGGGTGCTCCCGCAGAGTGCAGGGGGTTGGACTAGATGACCTGCAAGGTCCCTCCCAACTCTAACATTCTGTGATTCTATGATTCTAAGTTTCTAATCCTCACAACCTGAAGGTAAACATCTAAATATATACCGGGCAAATATATCATGATTTTTCAAAGGCTGGACACTATTTTTTTAAACCTTTAAAGACAACCATCTCCAAATATTGTAAGAAAAGGCACAGCAGATCTACAAAGTTCAGTTTGGCTGCTGTGTGTGTGTGCGTGGGGGGGGGAACGTGTTACTCAAAGGCAGCCAGCATCTACGAACAAGGCATGGCTCTCGGTACATTCGGCGTTCTCTCATAACCCCCAAAGCTAAAATTAGGTGCATCACAAACATGTACATGAAATATCTGAAGACTCACGAAAGCTCCTCCCCTGCTCCGAATTCTGTTAGTCTTTCGGGTGCTCCTGGACTCTTGCTTTTTCCTACTGCGATAGACAGACTAACATGGAGACCCATCTCGATCTATCCGCGTGAAATATGGCTTACGTACCCTTCCATGCGCAGGGTGCAGCCGACTGTGGCAAACCCAGAGGCCGGGACGCTGGAGCGGAAGAAGTTTAGCAGTAGAAGCCCTGATGGTGTCACGGCCGAGCTGAACAGGGGAAGTGAACCTGGTTGCCCGGGCAACAAGGGAGCAACCGGGAGGCGGGAGGCAGCCGTTGCTGCGGAGAAGACTGGCCCGGTTGCTAGGGCACTGGTGAGCCGCCCTTGGGTCCCATGGGGGGGGGGAGGCTTCGTGAGAGCCTAAGATGATGCTGCGTGCACATGAGGCACACAACATCTGCTTTCGAAACCAGGCCACAGCAAGACGAGGAACAGGGGACTCCAAGCCTGGGGAGTGAGAAAATGGCAGACCCCCGGGGGAAATCTGACCCTCACTAACCCTCTTACTTACAGCGGGAATAATTCAGCCCCTCCTGCCTCAACACTGAGGTAGATCCCTTCAGACTGTGCATGGAAACCCACCACTGTCACACCAGCAGCTGCGAGTGGAGGAGTGGGGAATCGAACCCGGTGCTCCCAGATTAGAGTCTGCGCTCCTGACCACTGCACCAAACTGCCTCTCATACCAAACTGGGTCATTGAAGTGTATTTGGTTATGTGATAAGGGTCACCTGCTTTATTACTGGCTTCAGCCAGCTGTCCCAAGGCAGCCCCCCGCCCTTATACTAGAGACAGTCCTGACCTGGATGGCCCACGCTGCCCCGAGATCTTCCGTGGTGGACTTTCACCGTGGACGTCCAGGACCGCGAGGCAGGCAGTGGCAGATCATGTCTGTCAATCTCTTGGAAACCCTACAGCAGTGGTGGCGAACCTATGAGAAGGGTGCCAGAGGTGGCACTCAGAGCCCTCCCTGCGGGCACGCGTGCCATCGTCCCAGCCAGGCCCAGACCGTCATTAAAGTCTTGAATTCTCTGCCAACTAATTTTAAGTAAATGAAAGCATTTGCGATTGCTTTCCTTACTTTGTTTGGATCATCTTAAGTTAATGTTATGAGTTGTTTTTTTCTAAAGTGAAACCTCAGTATTCAGGTTAAATTGCTGTGTCGGCACTTTGCGTTAAATAAGTGGGTTTTGGGTCGCAGTTTGGGCACGCGGTCTCTAAAAGGTTCACCGTCACTGCCCTACAGGGTCGCCGAAAGTCGGCTGCACTTGACGACATTTTCCACCAGCGCGTTCTGATAGTCTTGACTTTTCCATGGCAGCTTTGGAATACACTACAGACCAGCTCTGAGAGATCTTGTAACTGACCACGGTCACACCAGCAGCTGCGAGTGGAGGAGTGGGGAATCGAATCCGTTGCTCCCAGATCAGAGTCTGCGCTCCTAACCACTGCACCAAACTGGCTCTCACGCCAAGCTGGGTCATTGAAGTGTATCTGGATATGTAATAAGGCTCACCTGCTTTATTACTGGCTTGAGCCAGATGTCTCAAGGTAGCCCCCCACCCTTATACTAGAGACAGTTCTGACCTGGATGGCCCACGCTACCCCGAGATCTTCTGTGGTGGACTTTCACTGTGAAAGTCCAGGACCACGAGGCAGGCAGTGGCAGATCACGTCTGTCAATCTCTTGCCTTGGAAACCCTACAGGGTCGCCGAAAAAGTCGGCTGCAGTTGACAACATTTTCTACCACCGCTTTCTGATAGTCTTGACTTTCCAATAAAATCTCCACAACACCCACATTTAGCAAACTGAGACATCTTCCTTCGTGGGAATAGCCGCTGGATTCATTTTTTTAAAAAAAGTTTAAGCTGTGAAAACACAGCCTGCAGGTTTTTTTTAAAAAAGACAAATCATCAACAATACAATCTCCTTGCAATGAAAAAACTCTGTCTAGACTCTTATCTACAATATTTGCATCCCACCCTCCAACCGCCCCCCCCTTCCCACTCAAGGTAGAATAAGGGCTTCTCTCCTCTTCTTTTTCATCATCAACCACTCCTCTGTTACAAAATCTTTGTCACAAAACATCTTTTCTGGGGTTGGGGGAGGAGTGTTCAGTGACCTTCTAGGTAGCGTTGTCAACCTTCGGATTATTATCCCAGTATTACATCTGCTCTCCAGACTTCAGATATCAACTCCCCTGAAGGAAATGGCTGCTTCACAGGGTGGACTCTATGGAACTGTCACGTGCTAAGGTCCCTCCCCAAACCCCGCCCTCTCCAGGCTCCACCCCCAAAATCTCCAGGGATTTCCCAACTCAGAGCTCACAACCCTACTTTTTGGTGCATATACTCTAGGGTTTTTCCGCACATGTACCATCAGGTTTAAGTGGTTAAGACGCTGAGCTGCAGGCTGTGGAAGGTCGGTAGTTCAGCAGTTCAAGACCCGAGTGTGCCGCATGACGGAGTGAGCTCCCGTCTCTAGTTCCAGCTCCTGCCAACCTAGCAGTTCGAAAGCAAGAAATTGCAAGTAGATAAATAGGTACCGCTTTGGTGGGAAGGTAACAGCGTTCCGTGTGCCTTGGTGTTTAGTCATGCCGGCCACATGACCACAGAAACGTCTACGGGCAGCGCTGGCTCTTCGGCTTTGAAACGGAGATGAGCACCGCAACCCTAGAGTCGGATTCAACTGGCTTTCGAGCAAGGGGAAACTCTACCTTTACCATCAGGGAGCTGTGTTAGATTCACATATAACTGACAGTTATGTACAGTAATATTAAAAATTTGTGCCTAATGCTTTTTTTTTTTTGGTGGGGGGAGGAGATAGTCTCACATTCAGAGTCCTCTCTTCCTTTCAGGTAAATTCAGTAATTTCTGGTTAGAGCCTTATTATAAAGAATTGTTACGTTGCGGAAATAGCTGCTAATTAAAAGTTTGTCCGTGTCATTTCCAGGCGCCTGTGGTGTTAGCGGCAGATCCCAAACATTTCTGTTAGCGGAATGAGGGGGATTCCAGTAACACATAATACTTCCAACCCAACAATCCGTCTTCTTATAGTTCTTAGAACAATGTATATAACCAGCCATAAAACTCAGCGCACAAATGCAGAGGGAGGGGGAAATTAATATCCGTATAGCAGAAAACATTAAGACTACCATGCCGAGAATTAAACCATTCGTTACCTCTCTGTGCCAAATAGGATTCGTTGTGTTACTGATGATGGTGGAGCGTCGTTCCTGACCGTGGTGGGCAAATGTCGGGAAGGTGCTCTTTTTCCCAGGCTGGATGGACATCTTTAAGTAAGGGTCAGGATTGAAGAACATCCCCTTTTTAAGCCCGACTGCTCTAAGATCTTCGGAAGACAGAAAATATATCAAGGGGAAAAGAAAACAGTAAATACATCAAGCATTCCTTATCACTTATGTTAACCTAGGTTATCACAGAAGGTTCCCACAGGGCAACCCAATGTGCATTGATTACACAGCTATAGGAAACGCGGAACTTTTGTGATTCGTTGGCATCTGTGTGCAGCGATGAAACACCGCACAGTAATTCAGAGGCATGCGACCAACCTGGAACAGCCAGCCGCCATGCACAACGTCAAAGAGGTACTTTTCTCCCTTTCTCACAATACAAGAACTCGTGGGCACTCCATGAAATTGCTGAGCGGTCGGGTTAGAACAGATAAAAGGAAGTCCTTCTTCACCCAAAGAGTGATTAACACTTGGAATTCACTGCCACAGGAAGTGGTGGCGGCTACAAGCATGGACGGCTTCAAAAGGGAATTAGATAAGCATATGGAGCAGAGGTCCATCAGTGGCTATTAGCCACAAGGTATAGATAGGGGCTCTGGGGCAAGTGATGCTCTGTCATCTTGGTGCTTGGGGGGGTCAACAGTGGGAGGGCTTCTAATGTCCTGGCCCCACTGGTGGACCTCCTGATGGCACCTGGTATTTCTGGCCACTGTGTGATACAGAGTGTTGGACTGGATGGGCCTTTGGCCTGATCCAACATTGGCATCTCTTATGTTCTTATGTTCTAACCTGATTCGAAAACAAGCTCAAAGCTCTGGGTTCAATCTATCTTCTGTTTACTTTTTTTTAAAAAAGATTCTTTTGCAGATTTAAGCTGCCAGGAGATTTATAACAGAAACATTAGTTTCTAGAGGCAAAAGCTGCACGCGACAGGCATTTATAAAGGAGATTCAGTGAGAGACCAAGACATTCTAGGGAACTGTCAAAATCAAGGACGCTGTGCTTTCCCTGGACGGGATTGTATCAACAGTCAACTAACCCTATAATAGCAGAGATAGCACAGGTGCGTTTGATCTATGTACAAACAGGGAAAGCATAGCCGATCTGATATCAACCGCCACCTCTGCTTCAGCTTGCCCTTTGAAATACATAAGCACCAGGGTCAAGCCCACAGGCGGATTTCAGAGTTTGGCTACAGGGAATGTTAACTTCCAGAAGTCAAGAGATTTAACGTGCTTCAAAATAGTCTACGGTCTGGGCCCTATTTCGACACAGAATCAGTCCTTGGGATGAATTCATTTTACTGACTTCTTCGAGTTCCGGTAAGATCCACAGGACTAAAGACTGGATCCTGGAAGCTATGAGTCCAATGGTGCTCATGGATATGGACTTCCCCCCAGCAATGCCCCTTCAAGACCTCCTGAGGGCTGATGCTTTGTTTATTTTCATTTATTACTCTGCCTTTCTGAGGGAGACTCGATACTTGCACTAGTGTGAGAGACAGCATAAGCGTAAGGTGTCTATTTCACCTCGTAACCTCCGGGGGTGTGTGTCATATTTGGTGTCGTGGTTAAGTGCGCGGACTCTAATCTGGGAGAACTGGGTTTGATTCCCCACACCTCCACTTGCAGACCTTGGGCAAGCTGTAGTTCTGATAAGAGCTGTCCTTGAAAAAAGAGCTGTGTTTGTCAGAGCTCTCTCAGCCCCACCCACCTCACAGGGTGTCTGTTGTGGGGAGGGGAAGGGAAAGGAGTTTGTAAGCCGCTCTGAGACACCTTTGGGTAGTGAACGGCGGGGTATAAATCCAATCTCCTCCTCCTCCTCCATATGACATTCTGTCCCCACGGATTCTGCAGCCTCCAGCATCCGCTTTTCAGGGGCTTGCTGGTGGAAGCGGGATGGCAGGAGAGTCTATCTCTCCGAGCACATTTCCCTTATACTTCAAAGGATTCAACCCATTGCCTTGAGCTATCCCTCCCGCATGATTTAGCCTTTTCTGTTTAAAGCATACCGAGTTATTGTGGAGGAATGGTACTTGAAGCGAGCAGGAAAGCTGTCAGATTGCTAGAGAAGTGTGATCGGTGCCACTGAGAATTCTGGTTCAACGGCTTAGGAAGCCCGCAGAGGGCTCCCCCCCCCCCCGAGATAGGAGTCGTTTCATCTGTCGCCTTAGGTATAATATCATCATCTGTTGCCTTAGGTATAATATCAAATGGCCACAGTGCATAACTCCTGACCACACAGAACCCAGTCCTCGCTGAAAGGAAATCAATTGTTGAAAACGCAAAGGCAGTTGAGACAAGAGTCCAATTAACCATCTGCCGGTTAAAGCCCAGGGAATATAAACCAGGACTTGAAGGTAATTGATATACATACAACTGTAGGCACCGTGGGGCTGTTGTTGTTGTTGTTGTTGTTTTTTGGGGGGTGTCCTAGTGAAAGAAATTTTCGCGGACCCATCCCCTCCAACAAGCTTTCGAGGATGCTCAGACTGGAGACAGGGAGGGGTCTGCTGGTTCTTCATTGGCACTGCCGGAAAATCAGGTCATCGGCTGTCCAGCGTCCACCTTACTCAATGGTCTCTAATGCAAAAGAACATGAGGCTAACCGCACCCCAGCTATTGTCGCTGTCAGAAGGAATGGACTGTGCAGTCTTAATGCAGAGTTTGGAGTCCCGGGGAGGGTCGTGAAGAGTTGGCGTAGGGGTAGAGAGGGTGTAGGGTTGCCAGATGCACTTCGCCTGCTGGCAGGGGGTGGGAAGGAGCCTTCCGGGAGTGGGGAGGGCGAGGCGATATCGGAATGATGACATCATGAGGAAGTGACGTCATCACACTGGGGAAATCACATGGTGGTGCTCTAGCATTTTGGCCAAAATGCTAGAGCATCGCTGTGTGACATTGTTAGCGTGATGATGTCACTTCCACATGACATTATCACGCTAACGATGTCACACGTGACGGGGCTGTTCAGGGGTGGGGCTTCCCCGCTGCTACCTGGGCCAGCAGCAGATTGGAACCCCCAAAATTGGAGGAACCTCCGCCGGGACCAGGGGTCTGGCAACCTTTTCTTTGCCAACTCCTGCTGCTGTCCCTCTGTTACCCAGAGTGCTCCACTCAGGAGTTCCTTCCTTACGGTCATTCCCTTCTCTCTTTCTCTCTCCCCCTCTGTCTACCATGAGAGTCAGACATGTTTTTTTACAATCTCTCTTCATTCTAGCTTAGATAGACAGCTAGAGCCAGTTTGGCGTAGTCGTTAAGAGCGCGGACTCTAATCTGGGAGAACCAGGTTTGATTCCCCACTCCTCCACATGCAGCTGCTGGTGTGACCTTGGGTCAGTCACAGTTCTCTCAGAGCTGTTCTCTCAAGGCCAGTTCTCTCACAGCTCTCTCAGCCCCACCTACCCCACAGGCAGTGTTCCCTCTAAGCTGAGTTAAGAGTGAGCTAGCTCACAGATTTTTATCCTCCAGCTCACACATTTTTGTCTCAGCTCAGGAAGGATGGCTCCAGAGCAAACTAATTGATGCAGCAGCCAAATCGCTCGCCCACAACCTTAATGCCAGTAGCTCACAAAGTAGAATTTTTGCTCACGAGACTCCACAGCTTAGAGGGAACATTGCTCACAGGGTGTCTGTTGTGGGGAGGGCGAGGGAAAGGAGTTTGTAAGCTGCTATGAGACTCTGAGTGGAGGGCGGGGTATAAATCCAGTCTCCTCTTCTTCTTCTTCTTCTTCTTTCTTCTTCTTCTTCTTCTTCTTCTTCTTCTTCTTCTTCTTCTTCCTCTCTGCCTTTTCTATCCAGTACGGAGTTCTCACACAGTAAAGAACTCCTATTTCTTTTCTCAGTAACAAGCCTTAGTGTGAACTTATTCCTCAAGCGGCCAGATTATAGAATTCTGTCGTCGAGTGTCTCAGCTCTGCTTCCGGTCTCTTTCCAGGAACGTGTTGGCCAAGGTTTCTCCTCCTTTCCCACAGTAAGGAGAAGAGGCGATCGTGATCCAGCCCGGGAGTGGCTCCGCTTACGGGTGGGGGCCGAAGGGACTCGCCCCAGCAGAACCAAGCAGCCAGACTATAGAATTCTGCTGTCGAGAGTCTCAGCTCTGCTTCCGGTCCCTTTCCAGGAACGTGTTGGCCATGGTTTCTCCTCCTTTCCCACAGTAAGGAGAAGAGGCGATCGTGATCCAGCCCGGGAGTGGCTCTGCTTACAGGTGGGGGCCGAAGGGACTCGCCCCAGCAGAACAGCTGAACGTGCAACCTGGGCTGCAGAACAAGCTGCTCTGGTCTGAGAACAGACGAGGCACAAAACACGTGCCCGAGATCTGAACTGGCAGATGCCCGAATGAGTGATTAATCCAAATGAAGGAGAGCGCCCATGCACGGCCTTGCAGCCATTTGTCTCTCAAATGGACTTCATTCCAAACAGCTCTTCCCAGCCGCACAAATGTCTATTTACTACACTTCAGTATGAGATGGGGGTGTTCCCTTGGACGTTTTAAAGATCTTGTTACAAACCTCTCAAACTAAGATTAAGAACATAAGAAGAGCCCTGCTGGATCAGCCCAGTGGTCCATCCAGTCCAGCCTCCTGTCTCACACAGCGGCCAACCAGTTCCTCTGAGGGGGGCCAACAACAGGGCACAGAGGCCGAGGCCTTCCCCTGACATTGCCTCCTGGCTCTGGGATCCAGAGGATTAGTGCCTCTGAATGTGGAGGTTCCCCTCAGCCACCATGACTAGTAGCTATTGATAGATTTCTCCTCCACGAATCTATCAAATCCCCTTTGAAAGATGTTTGAAACATGCTTTGAAACATGCTTAGGCAGCGAATTCCACATTTTAATCACTCCCTGTGTAAAGTAACATTTCCTTTTGTCCATCCTGAACCTACTGCCCATTAGCTTCCTTGGATGTGCTCAAGTCCTAGTCTTTTGGAAGAGGGAGGCAGTCTTAGGGTTTGCTCTCTCTACTCATTACCCCTTTTCCCCTCACATACATCCATGGTTCCGTATATCGCCAATTTGACAATCCCAGTTTTTAGGAGGGTCTTTATGCTTGCAAGGTTTAACCTTTTCCCTTCAGTAGTGGTCTCAGGTAGATACAGGGGTGTTCCGTATAAGGATAGACTTTGCAACTGTGGTTCCCCTCAGTCACCACAGCTAATAGCCATTGACAGACTTATCCTCCATGAATCTATCTAATCCCCTTTTTTAAACTGTTTATTCCTGTGGCCATCACTACATATTCTGGCATTGAATTCCACATTTTAATCACTCTCTGTGTAAAGTAGTATTTCCTTTTGTCCATCCTCAACCTGCTGCCCATCAGTTTCACTTGATGCCATTGAGCTTTAGTATGTCTCCCTTTAGTCGTCTCTTTTCTAAACTGAAAAGTCCCAGACTCTTCAGCCTTTCCTCGTAGGGAAGGGGCTTCAACCCCCTAATCGTCTTGGTTTCTTTAAGTTACGGAGGTAAAGAGACCATGGCCTGGTTTCGGATTTTTTCTTTCTCTCCAGTTTCATAGGCTGATAAACAGCATTTCGTTGTTCATGCCCGGGCCTCTAAAAGAACACATCTTCAGCAGAAGATAGATGCAATCCCCTATTTGAACACGTATACACGGTTACATCCTTTTTCTTTATAACTGCATTTAGCCAGAGCTATTTTTGGGCAGGAACGCACAGGAACAGAGCTCCGGCTGGCTTGACTCCCAAGTTGGCCACACCCAGTGGGAACTCATTAGCATAATAGGCCACACCCAACAGCAGAAACTCATTGGGATTGGCTACAATTAGGGGTGTGTGGCCTAACATGCAAAGGAGTTCCTGCTCCAAAAACAAGCCCTGGGTTTTGTCAACAAACAAGGTAAAGAGAATAAGAAGCAAAAGTTGGGTGTGGCTGGATGACCACACTTCTGGTAACATGGGGGTGCGGCCTAATGTGCTAATGAGCTATGCTCTCATGGGTGTGGCTGGATATGCTAATGAGTTCCTGCTGGGCTTTTTCTACCAAAAAAGCCCTGCATTTAGCCAAGTAGGAGGCAAGAGGTTTTTCCAGGTGGGCCTTCAGGAAAAAGAATGGGTTGTCTTACATTTGCATACAAGGCACTATTATAGATAGTAATACAAAAGCTTTCTGTGTAAAAGATGGAGCTGGGGGGGGGGTTTCTTATGCCCTGGGTCATCTTCCTTTGGATAAATATATTCATTATGGGCCAAAAACTGCCACTATGGTTGCTGCATGGGACAGAGCAGGTAGAGAAAGAAGTACTTTTCTCCCTTTCTCACCATATAAGAACTCGTGGGCACTCCATGAAATTGCTGAGCAGTCGGGTTAGAACGGATAAAAGGAAGTCCTTCTTCACCCAAAAAGGGATTAGCACATGGAATTCACTGCCACAGGAGGTGGCGGCGGCTACAAGCCTGGATAGCTTCAAGAGGGAATTAAATAAGCATATGGAGCAGAGGTCCATCAGTGGCTATTAAGCACAAGGTATAGATAGGAACTCTCGGTCTGGGGCAAGTGATGCACTGTGGGAGGGCTCCTAGTGTCCTGGCCCCACTGCTGGACCTCCTGGTGGCAACTGGTATTTTTGGCCACTGTGTGACAGAGTGTTGGACTGGATGGGCCTTTGGCCTGATCCAACATTGGCTTCTCTTATGTTCTGCCGAAACATGAGGGAGACAAGAGGATTCCTTCCCCACAACTGCCTCTCTATCATCCTTTTTATTCTTGGAAGAAATTACTTCTGGTCTCAAAGTCAAAACAGGTAAGATGCTGGGGAAACCACACAGGGTTCTTAGAGACCTTTAAAAAACAGACTCAGCCGGATGGAGCTCCGGCTTGTTGAGCTCCAGATGGGGAAGAGGGGGGAAGTTGATCCACCCATGTGCTGTTGTTAGCCTTATTAACACAAAGAATGGACAAAACACAAGTGCCCGCCATTTTCTCTTTAGAGGGCTAATACTGCCATGTGGCACGGGGCAATTGTGATCACCAAAAACCATGCAGGGATGGAAAAATTAAATCCCTTATCCCTTCCCTGTATAGCCCCAATTAGAGTCAGGATTGCACATACTTGGAACTTGCCTCTTCCAAAACAAAACTAAGAAAGGAGAAGGAGAAGGAGGAGAAGGAGGAGAAGGAGGAGGAGGAGGAGGA